ATCCATCGTGTATGATAATAAATAGCCGGAAAATCATCGTGTGCACTAAAGATTAATCCTATAGATTATCGTATATTATTCATTGTTTGACATCTATGAATATTTTAGATTATGTACAGATTTATTCCATATTTTTAATATAAATTTACTTCTATTTTTAAATATATATATAGATACTACATATTAATGTTTTTTTTTAAATAAGAAAAAATAAAAAAAATAGATGTAAATTTCTGATTGGTAAAGAAAACTATTATGGAAAACTGAGCTTTACATTTTATTGCTAGTATATAAAAATCACCCACTATTCCCGGGTTAACGAGGTTGATTTTTCTATCTCTCTTTGGCATACTTCGAACAGATTATTTTTCCGTAATCGTAGATATCTACGTTACGCAAGGATTTATAATGACGCTATAAAGTATCGGATTATTTTTATTAAAACGAGACGCTCCATTAAAACCGCAATACACGCAATCGATGATCAAATACATCAAATGCATCAACCCACGAATCAGGCCGATAAAATCGGGAGAAGCAAGTCGTGGGAGCGCGCGTATCAGTATACCGCGGTATTCCGCCGTCGATTTAATTACCGATTAATCTAGACTTCTTTTGTTCCCTTTGAATAATGTCTACGTTCGCCCGACCAGAGATCGCTCGTGTATCACCGCGCTTGTTTTAATAACGACGATAAATCTCGAGTCCCACAGCCACGCCGACGGAATATTCGAGACTACGCGCTATTGCCTTCTTTTTTTGCCGTCCAGATTATTGGACTTTCTCGTAGTCTCGATGTCACGTCGATGGGACATTCTCGATTGTGTTCGACGGTACTACTAGTGATGAATCGAAAAAAGAAAGGTCTGCATGATTTAATTTTTCGAATAGAAAGAAACTAAATAAAAGAAGTCTTAAAATCAATCTCAAGTACGTTTTTCTTAAAGAGTATACTTATGGATCAATTCTAAGCAGAATCGTAAGACTCGTAATTTGTTCTCGTAAAACTTGTAAGAACTTATCACTAGTATTCTAATTTTATGCGTATGTATCGTAAGACATATATATGATTGTTAGTAAATATCTACAATTTCTTGTAAATCTTATGGCTAGTAAAAGAAGCTGTCTGTAAAGATATTGTATAAAGGTATGAGCACTTAAAAGTTCTTATAAGTCTTACAAAAATATATTACGAGCCTTATGATTCTGCTTAGAATTTAGGCATTAATTCTTTAAATGAAGATTATGAATTTATAATAATTGTTACGTCATTATCTGAACCCTCTAATGGTGAAATGAGTGTATTCAGATATTCAGGAAATGTGTAAGAAAAAGTGAAATATGTAATATGTCACATCTTTTTCTGTTAAACAATGTATGCAAGTTGTAAAATAGATTAAGGTCGCATTCGATCTTATTGTATTATTAGAAAATTAATAATAGAATAGTAACCGTTTCGAGAATTTAATATTTGTACATACATATACAGGTATATCTATACATAAACGCGTACAGATACATATAATTGCGTAATAAATATATTTTACCATGTATTTCTGTATCTTCATAAACACCCTTTGATCCGGATTTCAAGAACGTCAAAGAGATAAGATCAAACAAAAGATTGGCACAATATTCGCCTTATTACTTATAATGTTATTAAATCCCGTTCTATCGATGTGGTAGCGAATGTCTCATATTTTTGCGTAACTTTGGATCGATAACTTTTTCGATATACCGAAACAGCAACAAATCAGGAGCATCATTTATTCTCAGGCGTTCCTCGACAAAGCTAATACACAGTGAGGTACCTCGCGGAATAGCCAATGGGAAAATGGTAACTGGGTATAGACCGGAAATGACTACCAGCCGATAACCGGATATCTAATATCCGACCGTTTGGCCGGCCGAGTGCCGAAAAATATGGGAATCGGATAAGCACTGTCCGGTAACCATATTCATCGATTGCACCTTTTGCTCTGACGCTGCACTCGCAAAAATTTTGGTTCATCCTTGGATGTCTACTGAGACTGAATGTTCCATTAGGAAGGTTCAAAAGGGATATATAAGAAAACTCAAGTCGTAGGGAAGGATCGATATCAGTTACTTTTTTCCAGAAGGCGAAGTAAAAAAAAAACAGAGAAAAAAGATTTGCTATTATAGTATAGAAAATATTCCGCTATCGTAATGAATTTCGATAATTATTATATGAGTATTCAATAGCTTTGTTAAGAAGATTGAATATATGATATGTATATTAATTTATATACATGTATTTATTAATTTATTACTGGACTTTGCATTCGTTGATTATTTTAAGAAAATAAACGCGAATGTTTTGTTATTTTACTAAAAAATCCATCATATTATATAGTCAAGGTATATAAATTCAAATATTTTTAATTATTAATTTTAAAGTAAAGGCGTCGAAAATCACGCGACGAATAAATTATTCAATGTTATGCAACAATATCTTCTATAGCAATTTCCGTAGAGAAGCCATAATAATAATCATTAAAATCTAATTGCTTCAAACATTGGCAATTATTAACTGCTGCCCACACATGTACGAATGTAAAATATGGATAGTGATTATTTTGAGATTCATTCGTATTAATAACATTTAAAAAATAGGTTGAACGAAATTTTGACGTTAACATAACGAAGGAAAGAATAAGAAAGAGAATTAATAATCAAACAGAATTATCTGATGCTCTCGTGGTTGGCTTAAAACGGAGATATTCTTTAATTCCTTTTCACTCGCTACTCGTTTGTTTGTTTAAAAATTCTATAACGCGAAATAGGAAATGTACATTATATAATATCATTCATATATAAATTATGTACTCAAACAGATTTCTGTCAAAAGTATTAGTAATGTCAAAAAATATTTATAAAAATTTATAAAAAAAAAAAAAATATGCGTATACTTGATATATATAATTATTTCTGTAACTAAAACGGACGTCTGTTACATATTTAATTTCTTAAATTTTTTTATCAAAAATGTAATAAATAGAATCTCTGCGATAGGAGATAATTCGTAAACACTAAAAATGCACTTACCAACAAAATTGCAAATGTTCAATTCTGCAATTTAATTCTCTTCAGTGCGGAAGTATAAATTATAATTTTATACATTATATTGTATTATTTACGTATTGACAATTACGGAAGCTTATACATATAAGCAATAATTTATTTATATTTGATTTATCGTTGAAGTCACAAAATTATATTTATTTTTTATAAATAGGTATATTTTTATCAAATGTTATCAAATTTTGCTTAATTATATCTAATTAAGAAGAATAACGATTATAATCATAATTAAACTATAGTTATTTTTCTAAGCATTAATGTTGATTTTTGAAAAAATATTTCATTCATCATTTACCTATTATGTGTTTTACCTATTGTTAATATGTGTTAAAATAGAATAGTTTTTGAATGAGGGAAAAGAGAATGCCAGTCACTGCTAAAATGCTATCACTGATACAGTATCGATGATAATTAATAATAATTGCGTACCGCTCGAGTAATCGAGCGTCCATTAGCGCCATTACGCTCATCGTCGCGTTACCACCCTTCGCGCCGCATGTTCTCGCTTTCGCTTCATTAACTTTATTATCATCACGTCGTAATGTATTATTATTATGTATTACACGACGCTTTACGTGTTCACATAATATGCGAAAACGAGAGGGAAATAAGTCACATCCTCTCTGATACGCTTTAATACACATAAGACATCTCCGATTTTAAGACTGTGTGTTAGTCGGCGTGCGCAGTCAAGTCTCACATATCAGCTAAATGACACCATCCTGACAAATGAGGGTCATCAATGACGTCTGGCAACTTTACGCTTCCCGAGAGCCGCTATTATCGCGTACGCGTCCATATTCCCATCCCTAATTTGCACCGTTGCAACGAAGGATCTCTGAGAGGTGTAGGTTCCGAGTCTTCACGTTCCTCGAATTTCTATCTGTCAGAAAATTTTTTGCATACGGATGTAAGGATAGATATCTCTTGATGTATATAAGAGTAAGGACATATAGCGAGATCGGGAAAGATCGGAAAAGATAAATATGTATGGCGCGACCGAGAAATGACTCGCGAGATTTGATAGTCCGTTCCGAACCGTCGCCGCTGTTGTTTGACAAAAAAAAGGCTACTCTTTAATATATTAAAGTAACGAGTTTTTTGTTCTCCTCGGCCCTCAAAATAGCTAACACGGACCAGAAATGTTGAAAATACCCAGACTTTCTTGTTTAAGTATCTGCATACACGTATATAAAAAGATTAATTTTGGATCTTCCGATTGAAACTGGACATACAGAATGACATCTGATAATTTTACGTTTCCCGAGAGCCATTATTATCGTGTGCGGATATCTACGTATATCACCATTCCTATTACTTTAGACAGTTACATTGAAACGAAAGATCTCTGAGGTATGGGTTCTGAGTATTCATATTTTTCGAACTCCTATTTGCCAAAAAGTTTTTTGTATCTGGACCAGAAATGTAATATTGGAAATACCCGGATGTTTGTTTTAACCTCTACATACACATGTAACAAGATTATTTTAGAATTTTTTGATTAAAACTGAATGTACGGAATTTGCAATATATAAATTATTTAATATTAATAAATAGCAGAAAATAAAATATATTTATAAAAGGCATTATATTTATGAAATAAAAGCATTGAATTAATATGTAACTATTCAGGCTGACTGGCTAAATGTTTGTAACAAATTTATATCGTTCAACTTAAACGAATTTTAACGTTTGATGTTATTAAAATATATATAATTGCAAACTTGATTTTGAAAATGGTTTTTTTATATTGTAACTGCTCTCTCAATTGTATTATTTTATTTAAATAATATAAGAAAGTCCAAGAGATTCCAATTAAAAATTTCGGATAAGATACAAAGTTTGAGAAAACTACAAAATATTATTTTTATTCTGATAACCTATCTTTATGATTTAAGGTTTCTTGGATGAGGAGCAGGGACCTCCATATTCTTACTTCGGGAAATTTTTCGTTCAGCTCAGATGCGCGATTCGGACCTCAGCACACCCAAGGCAGCGACGCCTGGACTCTCAGGCTGGATAACGCCAGGAAGACGGATTCTGGCAAGTACGAGTGCCAGGTCAATACGGAACCGAAGATCATGTATGCAGTGCAGCTCTCTGTGCGAGGTGATTGTCGTTCCACTTCACATTTCGTCCTTCACGTTTTCTTCCTCGTACCATGATTTATGATAGAGAGAGATTCTTGTTTTTATACAAATAAAAATCACAATTTTTAACTTTAAAAAAATACAATTAAATGTTTTTACATTAACGTAATATAATTACGTAAACGCGTAAAAATATAGCATATCAAGTACATTCAATATATCATACTTGTAAGCCTGTAACAACGATACTATTCAGAAAACAAAATTTTCCACAGGAAATAAATTTAATTATTTTGAATCATTAAAATTCTGTAATATTAACTTTGAAATAAAATTTTGGTGTAATAATTAATTCTATAAAAATAAAAGTATGTTCTTTTTGAAATATGTTTTTTCTTCTTTTCTTATTTACGACCCGTTTTTTTATAAGTAATTAAAAAATACCAGTTTTTGAATTATATCTTGTAACAAATGAATGATATATAATATATAGTATAGTTCACATATTATATAATTCACCTGAAATGAAATGACTTATTATGTCTTTTTTATAAACATGGGTACTGCATAAAATAATACAAATAAGTTGACGAAATAATTTTATCTTCATCGTGTTAGAATTCATGATTGAGTTAAGACATTTTTTGCTTTACTGAGACAATAATGTTTCATCATTAAAAATTTTTGTGTTTCTAGATCCAGACAAACCGGAGGGTTATGACGAGCCGCATTCTCAGCAAACACGTATAAGTAAGTATATATATCCCGCGGACGTGACATGTATTTCTGGTTTGCACGTTTGTGACATATATGAGCGTGACGCTCCTTTAGTTCCAGCCCACGCCGATCAAATCAGTCGTATATTTAAAGACACGACTGAAACGTGAACAGACCGTCGGTAATAGCGATAAAAATTTCAAAAGGTGAATTAAACTTTGTGAACTATAGAGCATCATGCGCATTCAGGCGTTTCACTATAATAGCTTCACTTCTGTAGCAAATGAAACGACAGAAATGCGATTTATTTGATTGAAAGTATTGTAACGTAGAAATATCTAAAGGTATTTGATTTTCTGAGAATATTATACATTATAATAATAAAAATAAATTATTTCTCAAATTATTGTATATGCAATCGTTATGCATGTAATAATTACAAATAAAGAGAACAAGCTTTTAATTGTATATTTGCTAAAATTTGTCAAACAGAACAGAATACATTTTGCTTTAAAAGATTCGCATTGTTATTTAAATCTTTCACATTTTTGAATAATCGAAATTAATTATCGAAATTTATATGGATGTGCGTATTTGCATTTTGTTGTGATTCTAATTTCACTGGCGCTAAACTTATTTCACTGTCTGTGATATCAGCGATAATATTTTGCGCAGACTTGCATAATTAATTTCTCGCGTAATCAGCATTAGCCGAATCGGGTGGGTGCGGTGTATATAAAATGGAGCGCCTGTATCGCGCAGTTTGAAATTATATCATGCAAATTATTTTATGAATTCCTTGATCGGTATGAAACTCAGTACAATTATGCAATCAAAACTTCGTTGAAAGTTTCGCCGACTATGGATTGGTGCATAAGATGCATCCTTTTTCTTCTTTCGAATTTATCCGTTTTTGCATTCTATCGGCATGCGCTCTACAGATGATGAACGTAATAAAGTACGAGCGGAACACATCACCGCACAATAAAAAAATTTTATAGTATAAATCTGTAAAATTCCCTCGGGTGCAAAGATTGACCTAGTTCCTCAGAGATTTAAAAATATAACTTTCATCGCCGGCGACTGGCAATTTCCGCTTTGTTTCGCCACTCGGAAAGTAGCGGACCAAAAGCACTGGTTGAATAGTCGTTAAGATTGCATCAGTTGGAAAAAGCACGATTAATCAGCCGCGAGGTACAGCGAGCTAAGCTTACTGATAATTATCAAGCAAAGAAAGCGCAGGTTCTTGTAATACAATCATTACAAATGTAAACCGTCCACTGTAAAGTATCACTGTCACCATTAATTCTGTTTTTAGTATTTCACTCTCTCAGCAATATTTTATATATAGCAGTATTTTATATATAGCAATATTTTATATATAACAATATAAGTGATATGATTAACACAATTAATTATTAAAAATTTTCAAACATTAGAGAGAGATATATTTATTAGTTATTAAATTATTTATATCTGCAGATACTTTAGAAACATAAATTATAATACGTTTTCTTTCATTATCAATTATTTACTTATAAGCATAAATTTTATTAAATTTACACTTTTATTATTATATTTTATATAAATTAATATATCGCTAATGTCTTTTATATCTACATTATTTATCTTACTTTTTTGTAAGTTGCATTATTTATTTTTATGAAAATTACAAATCTGAAAGTATGAAATTGATCACGTCGGATTTACTAAAATTTATTTTAATCGTGCCCACGTTGGGAATGTAAAACGCATGAATAGGATACAACAGTCAATAACGTAGACAGAAGATTAGGTTGTGCTTTTACAAGCGTTACATTACAACGTATGTTTAAAACTTGCACGATGCCTGTTTACCGCTTTAGATGGTCGGTGGCAAACTTTTGGGCGAGTAAACAGCGTTATTTCTGTTGTTCTCTGTAATACTCTGTGAAATTCTAGCGGGTGCATTATGTGAAAGTTTATTATCAGATCTGCATAGTGTACGTATGTAACTGGCAAAGTGCTTCGACCGTTTCTAATTCGCATATCTCCAATATTCGATATTTAAAGGCAATAGTTTCTCATTGGTCCAAGAATTTTTATCAATTATTGTAAGTTTAATATTATATTCCTAATTTTATCGGAGCTGTCCTTTTACGAGATATAAAATTCATTGTAAGATAAATATAATAGATAAATTTGACAATAAAAATAAAGAAGTAGAATTTATTTATTAATAAAATATCACGTTCAAGAAGTAGCGAATTGAGCGTCGATGTCAATAACGTATCACATCTTTCATAAATATATTAATAATCCAACACGTTCTCGTCATAGTACACCGAACACCCTTTAAAAAATCATTAGAAGCTTTTTTTTTTTATTTTTCTCGTAGAACCGAGCGACATCAATCACTTAAGGATAAGTGCGACACCATCCTGGCTTTGACGCCCGTGATCCGTCGTCGTCGATTCTTCTTGCGAACTTTCTTTAGCCGCTTCATAATTCTTTTTAAGTAACGTCGTTTTATTTCAGACACGTCGTCCTCTCTCTTGACGCCTTCGATGTTCCAGAGTCTACGCTTTTTCATTTACGTCGGAACGGCAGATTACCAGAAGCTGCGTTTCCTCGATATCGGGGAGCTTATTTTTGATACTGCCGCTCAAAATCATTGCACAAAAACTCACAAATGTTGCTAAAGCAAGACCTATATCGTTGATAGTATATTTCTTGAATTTATCTCGATCTCTTTTCATCGTTTTTTAGGTGTAAAGGTTTTTTTACTGACTTCACGCGTGTAAAAATATGAAACGCGCGAACAATAAATTTAATTATTGACATTATACTTTATTCTTGAAATTTTATCATATTTTTTTACCTATTTTGTAGTACTATCAACTTAATGGCGAAGTTGCGACCGTGAATATTTCTTTCCATATCACGACATGTTTCCGCTCAGAACACTCTCCATGCAGTTGCACCCGACTAATAAATATACTCGCGCCAAGTTTCTTCTTTCGCTTCTGTTCGCAATATATGCGAGACTTAAAGATAGTCACAGATCGTTGCCAGCTATATTGTCGAAGTTTTGTAACAGATAAATAAGGGAAATGAAGAAAATGGAAGTACAACGCGAATATGTGAATACGTATAACAATGTTGCATAATGGCACGTTGAATTTTTTTTCTTTATGCAATCGTGGTTTACATATACATATAAATATATATGTATTTATATAATTATATATATATAATATATATAATATAATATAAATACATATAATAATATATATATAATACAAGGTATCCAATAGATCATATATATAACAACACTTAAAGAGATTCCTGAGAATCCTGTCATTTGAGATGAAAATCTTAATAAAAAAATATATGTTGAGACTATAATAATATTGCATATTACATACACACACACATACATACATATATATTATTGCATGATATATGTCTGTTTTAGCGCAATAATAATATACAATTTATTTATAATAATAACATTATCGTTAAGTTTATTTAGCTAATAATAATGTTTAGTTTATTTAACTAACAATAATGTTTAGTTTAACTTTAATATTTAATTTTGTTGCAACAGATAGAAATCAAAATCCGGTATATGCTCAACATGTCGATATGTTGAATCCGCACTTGAATATTCGTGATTCATTGGGTACTGATAAATGATAAGAGAAGTTAGCCACAAAGTTTCTGGCAACAATAAAAAGCAAACAAGACCGCGCTCAAAAAAGAAATGTCCGCAGCAAGTGAGTTTACAGTAATAACAGCATAACATAATATTTCGCTAGAGGGAACGTAGTCGTCGCCGGATTCATTTAAGTCTAATAGGATTATCCTTAATCCCGCGGTCCTGCCGCGGCTTCTTCGTATCCTTTTCTTCGTCAGCCACCGAGAGTTCAGAGTTCTAAGAGACAAGAGTTGGACCGCTAAATGAGTCTCGACCGTGGTCCTCGTACTGAATAATGCATACAAGCCTCGATTTTTATACGAGACGGAGAACTTCACTTTTGGTCATTTTTCTTTTCTACTTCGGAGATGATGATGAATTATTAATCTAATTGAAGAGAGCTTACACCACTTGTTAAGATTAATTACATAATATATCGCTCTTTTTAAAATGTGACACAAATAAAAACTGATTTTTGAGTTACCATAATTGATTTAAGTAAATATTTTATCAGTCACCGAAAGTAAAAGAACTTAATAAAAAATTATCACAATCCAAACGATAGTTTAAAAGAATCGTTTAAATTGTCTATGTTGATTAATTTAAAATATGTGATTCTTGGATTGTAAAACGAAAATGATTAAAATGATACTTGATTGATTAAGAACGTTTTTTTTTTAAATTATTTAAATAGTCAATAATCTTCCGTCAAGTCGAAAAATAATTTCTTCTCTCTTCTAAAAATGTGTGTTTTGAATTGTATCATTTGTGAAGTAAGGGAATAATATATAATATCTTGTTAGCGTATATAATGATTTTAAATAATACAATACTAGTACCATTGTAAACCATTGCAACTTTCAGTAATACACGTTCTGTAATAATCACTCAAATCCGTAACAACTTTCTACTATAAGTCGTAAGTCTTCGCTTATTATACGTTAATTATCTTACGACGATATATGTACATGCATAGGTATATACTGTATCTATATATGTATACTTAATTTTAAAGGGAGTGAGCGTGATATTCTCAAATATGTGAAGACGAAAAGCAACCGTGCGTAGATGCGTTGTGTTACAAAAGGAAAATGGGGTTTCATTACATAGCAAAGTTCATAATGGGAAGCCCGTTCGCAATTTATCGTATGTGTAATGGGAAACCGAAGAGTTTTCAAGTCGAGGTAATTTACGGTACACTTTGTAAAGGCTGATGCCTTGCAGTGCTGCGCGGCGGTTCGCGTATTAAACGAATACTTGTCCCTGTTTTCTAAATTAAAATGTACAAGCTTAACGATATATCTACGTGTGAGCGCATTATTATACATTTTTTACTACCTCAGCTTTCTCTCTACTTTGTGCCGCGTCGGCAGAGCACCAGCGCAATGAAAGTAGATATGTAACGTTGACATTAATTAAAATCATTACATAACATTTGTCGAGTATCCTTGATAGCGCGCGCAAAAGCGTCCTCGGCATCGCAGAGTGTTTCTTTTCATCGGGAAGAGGTCTAGTGCGTTAATTCCGTTCGTTGGGAGAACGGATTGCATCAATTAGAGAGTATTCACGATACATCACGCTTGCTATAACGTTGTCAATTAAAAAATTGCAAATTTCTTTGTGCAAGTCGTTCTTTGTCCACCATTTCGACGTTATTGCTCGCCAGAATTGAGTAAAAACTTCTTTATTAAAATAATGTACACGCTTAAAAAAACGTTTTCTTTCATTTAAACACTATTTTTTTTTACATGAAGCAAATGTAAATAATGTCCGAAGTAAATTTTAGTCAGGCGGATACATGGCATTCAGTATTTATGTTGCATTGCTTTTCATGTTCAATTTATAAATACGCAGAATACCACAAATATATTGTCCTCTGCATTTTAGCAATGATTTATTAATCAATTTAGAGTTGCTTGTCTGCTAATAAATACATCATTAGTTTTAATAATAATTATTGCCAATTGTAATCATACGACCAGAAATTATTTTTGATAAATAGTATCGTTCACTTATTACGCGCACCGCACAAACATAACTTTTCATGCTAAAATATCGTATTAATATTATATCAATTTAATATGTTTATGAAATAAATTAAGCACATCTAAATAAAACTTTAGTTTTGGAAAATTACATTGTGTTTTATACGAAATACAATTAATATGTGCCGTGCGTGTACTGGTACTAAAGTATAGTATGACAAACAAAATGCTGCTTTCAAATCAATGCATTAGTTAAAGGATTCCGATTGCATTTCCGTTTCAAGTCGAGATCCTACCCGAATCTTTGGATTTAGTCGAGAAATTCACCGTCGCGACGTGGCGCATCTTGGTTCCTCCCCTCAACCATCGGATATGCGCGTAATCTTGTCACGACGCGGCCATTCAATTGCTTCAGCCACCGCATGATATTTGTCCGAACATGACTTTCAGGCTATGAGAGTACAGCGCCGGTGGCAGACATAATGGGTCCTCGGGAGCAAAGGGTGCCATCGGGCTCGACGATCACCCTGAGGTGCGTCATATTGTCGCCGTATCAGACCCGTCCCATCAGGGGTGTACAATGGCTTCGGGATAACAAACTCCTAACATTCCAGGTAATGCAGCCTCAGCTGGATATGCGGGGTCGCTCTAATGAAATTTCTGTTTGACGACCGGGAATTGAGAAGGACGGGAGAAAAAAGGGGCGCTCGTATATCATCGCACCCGACGCGAAGGGATATGGGTCATATGGTGTCCTTAACTGCGTGTCTTTCAACATTTTTGTTTGCGTGGTAGTCTGCGTCGGCTGTTTCTTCCGTGCGATACGTAATGATTGAAAGCTGATCGATTTGACGGTCGACGTGGTTTTGCCACTGCGAAACTGAGCGCGATTATCTCGCTTGGTAAATGTGCGCGTTTTCTTTGAAACATCCACCTAAGACTCGTCAGCTTCTTTAGTGATCTTTTTCTTTACATCATTTATTGTTTGTTATTATACAATAAATTCTTTGTGTGCTGAAAGCATAAAATGTTTAAATTGTAATATTCATATGTTAAAGTTTATTTTCAGAATAATGTTTTACAACCGTAATTTACGATTTTTTTGTTAAAAGCAATAAAAAAATTTCTTCTTTGATAGACAAAACTCTTTGATATTATAATATTATTTATAGGTGTAAATATGTTAGAGTCTAGTATTTTCTGGTGACTTTATTGTCAATTTAGCATATAGTATACTATATTTTAATTAAGTATTTTACTTTTATGGAGTAACTCATACTTATATTATGTAAATGATAGTTTGTATTGTTCCGATTGACTCAAGAAGTAACGATTTTGCTTTTAGTTATACGTAAAATACGCATTTGCATAATGAATCTCAGTTCAAGAATGAAACGTGATGCGAGAGATGTAGAAACAAAATTTCTCAAATTTCTCCAAATTTATTCATAAATTTTATTCATAAGAATTATATAAAATTTTTTAACATGAATAATGTACAAATTTTTATATACAGTTTGGTGAAATAGAAAAGGCTTAAATTATCAGCACATTCCGTGTTTTTTCACGATTTATCATAAATTTTTAAAAATTAGAAATACACTTTTGTTGCTATATCTCTCAAATATTTAAAAGATTTTCTATTACTTACTTCGTCGTTGAACTCACACTCGTTTACTCTTCATCCAGGCAGCGCGCGGAGGGATAAATGTAGAGACCGAAAAGGGTGCGGCACGTACAGTATCCGTGTTGACTTTGGCGGCGGTGACTCAAGATGACGTCGGGAACTATTCATGCAGGCCGACGGAGGGTCGATCAGCCACTGTCAGCTTAGTCGTTGAGGAAGGTTAGTCTCAGTCTTTTACTACTCACGTGGATTATAACGAGAAAATAAAGTAGCGATATCCATAAATAATTTTACTGTAATATGTAAGCATATTTATATACACATATTTATATATTTAGTTACTGGTTGTAAATGCCATAAAAATATATGTTTAAAATAAAATAGAAGAGACAGAATAGGTAAAAGAACTAAAATAACATGATATAATAGAAAAGTGTATAAAAGTATACTAGATACACTTCGTGAAACATAATGATATAATAACAGTACACTTACGTGCTTCGGGATCTTCCGGGAAATCTTGCTGTCGCCGGATGTGCTACGAGCGTAACCGGAAGCCCACCGGGCGCGCCGATATTCTATTTCCTTCTACGCTTGCGTGTATCCTCCGCGGGGTACAACCATGATGTAAAGTCGTGCCTTAGGATTACTTGAAACACTTTAAAGTTTTAAAGAGGCGGCGGTATTTCACACTGAAGCTATTTGTCTAGCTCAGCCCCTCGGTCGCCACGGCAGGGATGAAAAGGAGCGGAAGGACGAGATGGGAAAGGGAGAGAGGAGGGATTGCGAAGAGATGGAAAAGACGGAAGACCGCTTGCTCGGGTGCGTGTACTCTTGCGCGAGACGAAAAGCGGGAATGTCCGAGGTACGAGGAATCGCGGAAGGAGAGAAATTGCGGTTCACAGATAGAAGGACGCTGACGAAGAGAGAGTAGAGTTTGAGAGAAAGGTGGAAAGGAGTAGATATAAGTGGAAGGATTCTCTCTCTTTTACCTTTATCTTTGCTTCTTTCCTTTCTCCATTCAAGCTTCGCTGCACGTCTTATTTCGTTTTATTTTTTCCTCTTTAAGATTGACAGAATAGAGAAAGAGAGAGATGGAAAAAGAATGAAAACGAACGTAAATAGTTTTAAACACAATCGATGAAATAAAAAAAGTGCAAAACAACTGACAAGATTGTTTGTTCTACTTTTCGCTCTTGTATACCATACCGTACGCTTTTAACACATTTTAACACATTTTTAAAAGTTGAGTATAGATTTAAACGCAAACTTTTTTGTCACACTTGTTTCCCTATATTGAAAAGTCTTACTGATTTTTCTCTGTGCATGACAATCGTCTGTAAATAGTGTGAGTACAGACAAAGTTGGTAACGTTATTTTATAAACGTAACGGGCTTATCATTATTATATTACATTTTGTAAAAAGTAAAAAGTCGTTATCATTATCGTCACTTTCAAAGTACGTTTATTATTTCTTTTGTTATTTTTTTTCTCCTTTTGTTATTTTTTTCTCTCCGCCAAATTCTCGTACCTATGACGTTATTCGCGCGCACAGTCGTTCGCGACTCGCGACAAAAACCCACTCGGAGAATCATTCATATAGACGCGAAACTATAATAACGTACCGCGCGATGTCTCATGCAAAAGATTTGCCAAGGCCGATAGACGCAAATAATAACTGTGAAAGTTCTTCTAGTTTCCAGACACAAGCAGTTGTAAGAAATATATATGGAACAAGTATCATAATCTATGTACAATATAACAATCTATGAAAAAATAACCGGAAATGCAAACAACTACTAAAAGTACGTAATTAAAAGATTAGATTCATTGGAAAGATTGAAATATAATTAAGAAATATATAATAAGATAATAAAACGTAGAATCGGCGCTAAAATTGGTTCAAATTTTAAAATGTATATAAAAATGTCTAATTTTTAATACCTTATGATTAACATTATAACAAATTAAAAATATTACGTTTCTTTCCCTATTTTCCTCTAATTTCAATAATATTGTTATGCACTACATATAAAACACGAGATACGTGATACCAATAAATCCCACCAGAAAAGTAGGTCACGTTTATACGATTTTTATATGATCGCTTTAACCCGTAAATCACAGCAAAGTTATCCTTCGCGAAATTTCTCAATAGCTAACACATACGATATAAACACGTATCCGATAATTATCGCGCGACGAAATAAACGCAAAAATTATTTGACAATCTTCCCATTCATGGCGAATATAATCCCCGTTTCTCTTTGTGGGCCCCACGTTGAGAGCCAAATGTTAAAGTCAGATATTAGATCAAAACATTTTTTACTTAAACGTTATGTAATAATCAATATATTATATATATATATATATATAATTATGAAATTAATTTTAAAATAAAAAATTCTAAGCTGGTGTCTAAATGGCAAACATTTTTATATTAAATTTATGTCTAGTAAATTTTTGTTAATTTTTTATGTTGATATTTTTATTTTTTAATACATAGTTACCTTTAGGAAATTAAACGTAAAAACGCAGATTTTATTTAAATTTGTATTAAACGTTTTGTTTTTAAATATTAATGTTATTATTGTGTTTAAAAAGTGCATTCCAACATTCATTGCCAATATTGAAAATTGGATAGAAATATAATAGAAATATATAATTATTGGAAGATGTTTTGTATTTTATTCCCTAATCCTAAAAAAAAGATTCCGATAGTCACTATAAATACTAAAAATTTATAGTTCACATTATATATGAACTATACATTTTTAGTATTTACAATGACTATCTCGGAATGTAGATTAGGGAATAGAATACAAAACGTCTTCCAATAATTATATATTTCTATTATATTATATTTCCATTATAAAATCTTCTAGCCAATTAAAAAAAAAATGTTTTTTATAAAAAATTATTTACTGAAAAGTTAATAAAGACAATAAGAGATTACAATAACGCGATAAAAGTAACAGCTGCAGAATTCGTTATCGTTTTCGTAAAAATGTAATAACATTAATGTTACAGACAGAAAAAAATAATGATTGTTACTAAAAAAATGTAATGAAAATGATAACGGCATTATAAGTAACGCGTTACTTCCCAATCTTGAACACAGAAGAAAATAATAAGGTAACAAAGTAAAAGTAAGGGAAATTATGGAGACATTAGTAGGAACTGAAAAATGTATATGCGAACACAGGCCGGATGAAATGGAACGAATGGCACGGAAGAGGACGAGGATCTGCGAAGGTATGGAGCCCGGAGGCAGACGCCGTGGGATCGCGGGGACACTTGCATGCGAAATTCACGTGGGTAGTCTCTATTATCGTGAATTTCCCTTCGGAGGTTATTGCGAGGAAGCGCCTGTGGCGCACGGAGTCGCATTTTTCCCAAGAGCGTAAGCGCGTGTGTGTATGTGCGTGCACGCGTGTACGCTATCCAACCCCGTGTCTATCCGTACGCGAAACGCGTCCCATGTGACTATAAATCAAAACTTGGATGACTCGCGGCCTCGTAGATTGTGGATTTACGCAGTTTATGACGCACCCGAAGGAAACCGTCTCGCTCGAGCGTAACTAAGCGAAGTGCATCGTCCGATTTTTACGAGAATGTATCGACGTAAATATCGTGGTATGTACGGTAAATGTGGAAACCGAATATTGCGGGCCAACATATAACGGAGGATTTGGGAGATACATCGAGATATATGAATTATTAATGCTATTGAATTCAATTTTTTAAGTTTCCTTAAATAATTTGCATAATTTTTGTACTCCTTTTTTAGAATTCTTATTGAACTCTGCTGATCTATTTGAGTTTATTTGACCTAAAATGTAATTTATTTCCTTAGTAATGAATTTATAATTATTTACATAAGCGGATACAAACTTGTCAAAATGAAATCTGTTATAGTATGTACATATATGTTTAAAGTCTCTGGTCGTCAGTTGTAACCGAGAATGTGAAATAATTTCAATTTTTAAATAGTTCTATGTTATATAACGACACCTTTTATCTCCTTATGTGGAGCATAGGACGTCTATAGACCTCTTTTGTCCGAGGCCTATATTCGTTTCTCGAATCAGATAGTTTTTCTGATTTGTGGGTGATTAGTCCACAGAATCCTACCTCAGTTAGATATTAGAGACAAATATCTACTGATATACTACTGATGTATAGGACCTACAGTTTTTAACGCCGAATCCGAACGGCGCTGATGATCATAGATCTTTTGATCACCAGGTGGAGCCATTTTTTGGCTCATTAAACGCGAAAAATCATCGCGTTTGGGCGCACGTGGGATTGAACTCGGGTCTACAAATCGCGAGTCAATCGCACAGAGCGGTGAGCCACTCGACGCCACTCTATTTTATATATTTTATTCATAAATATTATGAGGAGACATTGAATTATATATTTTATATCATTTTAAGATTAAATTTGAATGTGCTTATCCTTTCTTTCCTGTTAAGTTAATAATTAGGTTATTTGTGTTCTCCTAAAGTTTAGATTACAAATATTTTGTCACTAAAAATGGGAAATATATTGGTGAAAAATTTGGTTACATTAAGAATTTTTAAAAAAATAATCAATATAAAATGAGATAATTTAAACTGTGAAATAGTATTATGTTAAGTATACATAAATATTGATTTTAATGAACTGCTTCATATGATATTCATTTTTATGACATTTATTTTAATTTTTATATAAAATATTATATAAATTTCCAATATTATATAAATTTCCAATATTATATAAATTTCGGTCATCTTTTATGCAGAGACTACACTTGATATATATCCTTATAATTAAGAGTGTCCTATTTGCTTGTACATAAAATTACGTATTAATTGCAATAATGTATCACTCAATATAAATAGCATTCTAGGGTTAATTTAATATAAAATTTTGTAAGTAAAAATATAATAGATAATTTATATGCCAATAATTACATATTTACGTGCAGTATAACTTTTAAAAAGAATTTACAGGTATAAGAGATGAAGTTTTTTTCTCAGATGCCTTGCAATTCGGTTTTAATAAAAGCTCATTATATTTTAATACAGCGAGATAATAAAAAATGGAGCAAAAACATAATAATATTATACTTGACGTAGCTCATGAAATCTCATTATTACTTATATAGTCATAAACACAGTTTAAATACTGCAAAATTATAACTCCGTGTAGAATTCTCACATACATACACATGTAC